CCCCCCCCCCCCATTCCCCCACAGCTCCCCAATTCCCATCCAACTACCTCTCCTGGTCACGTGCCTGCACACTTGGTTTCGACTGCTCCAAAAAGCCCGAATGCAAAAGCGTTTCTGTGCTGTGGACTGGAAATGTGGACACTGCGCAGTGTGCAAACTCTTTGTGTGACAGAGATTCAAATATGAACCGCTGAGAAAAAAGTTCACTTACCCAATCAAATGATATTTTACACACCCGAATGTTAACATGGCGCCCACTGTCAAAGAAAGTGTAATATAGTGTTTCGTTACAACTTATGACACTTTACATATCATTTCACATTTCTACTGTATTAATCCTATATATCTATATCATAGAATTATGTTAAATTGTCATTAATATATATAGAATTGTGTTATGAATTCATTTCTATTGTATTATTGTTGCAGTATTGCAGTTGTTTGTTGTGTCGTTTTGAGCAACCACTAAAGATTTTAACATATTGTCAGTATTTTACAATCATTCTTCAAAGTGACATTAAAAAACTAATATGTGCGACTTATAATAGAAATTGTATCTCTTGCTTGTGCAACTGAAGCTTCGCCATCAGCGTATTATCTTTTTTAATTAACACAAATAATATTAATAAGAAAAAAGTCAATGCCAAATGAGTAAATTGAAACAAATCATTCCTTATGACTCATCTAAGCAAGATGAGTCATAAAGTCTTATTGATTGGATTAGATTCGGGCAATGTTTAGAAATAATCAGAGATTAATGGACAATGAAAATGCTATTTATTGTATAATTAAAAATAACCATAAAATGTTCATATGGTTTTGAATTTAACAAATAGGTGTTTTGTTCAACAGCTGACCTGAGAGTAAAGAGGAAAAGTAGAAAGGATAAATACTTAAATATATTAATGAAAATGACTTGTTTTAAATTGCAGCTTTGAGGAGAAATACAGTTTGCTCTCTTTCCTTTAACTATAGACTTTTATTTGTTTTAGCTGTTACTAATTTAGAGACTTTTAGGAAAGCAGCACAATTTATTTAACACTATTGTTCCATGGAAAACAGGACTGTATTGATCCGATATATTTGCATTTGATTTTGAAGTTGTAATTAAGTCACTGGAAAATAAACTGTATAAAGAAACTTGTACACTTCAACTTTGATGTTTTCCTTTTCTTCCCTGGAAATGAAATGCATCATTGTAATTACGTGGCGGAAGACTTTTCTGGCCCCCAGGCAGCTGAAACCTATTAAAAGACCAAATACTAAGGACTGAAAAATAGGAAATTCTTTACATCGTTCCTGAAAGTGTTCTTTTTGTAGATTCCTGCTATTTACCCACCAGCTGTGAAATAACTTCAATTGTGTTTAGCAGTAAGTCAGAGTCGTATGATGCTCTCCAGGTCTGTTGCCTACAGTGAAACAACAATGCACTATTGATTCCTGCTTGCATAGTGCCAACTGTGTCCTTAGCATCGCCTCTACTATTAGTTCTGTTTCTCTCTGCGAGCATTCTGCTTGTCAGGAACCGAAGGAGAAATTGGTAAATTGCCTACATCAGTACCAGACGGAAAAAAAAAAAAGAAAAAAAAATACCTCTAATTGCCAAGTACTAAATGTGCAAGAATGTGTCTTAGTGGCACTGATGCAGTGACAAAAAAAGGAGCCAAGAAAGCCTTTTTTTTTTAACAGATTCCAAGTTTAGATTCAATCTTACAACCTATTTATTCCTCCATGGTGAAAGTCTGTTGCTTAAAGCTAATATTTCGCACAAAGGCTGCAGCCATCATTTTTAGCTAAATTGTGTTCCCTCATGAAAACTAAAAGGTAGAAAATCCCGTTGAATTAGAAAGTGTTCCATTAAATGGTACAGCCCCTCACAGAGAGTCCCCATTGATTTAAGAGCAGGGTCATAAATCTTCCACACAACGGGGCTGAGATCAGGGGATCTCCAGCTTAAAAGAGCAGGAAAGAATAACAGTGTCCTGCTGCCGAGACACTATTCAATACTGCCGAGCAACCTGATAATCAATTAACAGGGGATTTGAAGGTCATTAAATGGATTATTACGAGCAGTCATCTCTATTTTTGGTGAATATCTACATAATCAGACTTGACTAAATGTCCTAATACGCTGCAAAACACGTTTTATAACTCTGCTTTAGAGAAAAAAGGGGCCAGAACATATCGAGGTTTAACAGAAGCTGTGATTGCACCGCTACTTTCCACATATGATAAATCTATAGGTAGAATAATCAGTTTATAACCAGAAAACAAAAACGCTTTTGCTGTTTCTAATCTAATCTTCTAGCATATCTACTAATCAGTTCAGTGTTTTGGATAGTAGAACAACACCTAACCAACAAATCATCATCATTTAAATCCATAAAGAAAAGACGCTACAATGGAGGAACTGCTCAGTGTTGGATCTTGTTAACATGAATCTTTAAATCAGTGGAAATGTTTAATTGAAATCAACATGATATGGCAGTAATGCAAAGTGAGAACATGGTGGATTCAGTGTCACGAGGCTATCCCAGAAACGCACACAAGCAAGTGACGTCTGAAAATACACAGAACACAGAAAATAATACACAATGTTTAAAAAATACATAAACAATGTCAAACTCAGTGGACTTCAAGATACAATACTTATGAGTAGAGTATTACAAAGAGCTACAGGTCTCTTCCACTCAGCTCTGGTCCTGTTTAATGTAGAGCATCACTACCCACTGACTCCTCATTCTGCTAAACATGGCAGGAACACAACATAGTTACGGCAGTCTCGACAGAAAAGTGGACGACTTAATCAACCGTGGACAAGAAACAGAGATGTTCAGTAACGAAGTAGAACTACTTAAGTACTGTACTTAAGGACGTAGCAGCTAACGTTAGCTAAAGCTAACCTAGCTGGCTAGTTGTATGATAACGTTAGCTAAAGCTAACCTAGCTGGCTAGCTGTATGATAACGTTAGCTAAAGCTAACCTAGCTGGCTAGCTGTATGATAACGTTAGCTAAAGCTAACCTAGCTGGCTAGCTGTATGCTACATGCTAGCATAAAGGCTCAGCTCAGGATTTTGACTCTGGAATAATAAATAATAGTAGATGAAGAGCTGTTGATTGCTAATGCAGATGTAGTTTTCTGTTTTTTGTAAACACCTGTATGGCCTTTCAAACGTTTGAAATAATATAAACAATATCTATTACATTTTTGACTGCCTTTTTTTTAATATAGCCTACACAGTACTTGTACTTTTACTTATACTTATATATAGCAATTTTTGAAATACTTCTACTTGCAATACTTAAGTACCAAAAATTGAGTACTTCCGTACTTCCACTTAAGTATGGAGTTGATAGAATACTTCTACTTTTACTCAAGTACATTTTTTTACATAGTACTTGTACTTCTACTCCAGTACTTTAAACATCTCTGACAAGAAATAATGTCATACATACAACTGCGACGTAAGAATAGTTAAAAACCGGTCGGTTGTACCACAACCACTCCTAAACGACCCCCCCAGTATATAAAAAAGCTCCTTCATTGAGATAAGTTCACTTGAGCCGAGGCCAGCGTGTCACAAACTGGCTTTTTTGCTCTTTGCTCGCTTCCCAGCGTGAAAAAACCTCCGACTGGTCACCGGTAACAAGGACCGAGCCCTCAGAGCCAACACACACCGGTCAGGGAACGCAGCGCCCGCTGGGCCCTGAGTGGAAGTGTCGGGGTGCCGGGCGGGGGGTGTTTGCACAAATTGGCACCCCGTGTCACCTTGTCAACACCTTTCAGCCCCACACCTGGAGAGCCCCGCCCACCCCGAGCCGACCAATCAGGACTTAGACGAATAAAATAAGGAAAGAGAGCATAACCCGTTTGATTTGAACCATAAAAAGCTTATATTCACCACCTGAACTCCAGTTAAACTCCTGTGTGAGTCTGCCAATAAGATCCTATCACAGATATCTCTGTATATAAATATGTTTTGTCCATGTCCCCACATGCAGGAAAAGGTAGGGGGTGATTTAGAAATGAGATTTCAACAGAATAGTGCTCCAGCTGAGACTCTACTCTCTCAATATCACAGCGTACGAAGCAATGTGGTGCAGGTGAGCGGCATTTTTCTGTTACCGGGAGTTTATATAATGAGGGATAAATAATAAACCGAGCCAAGAACAGTCACTTGTCAATAAGTCACTGACTTTTTTTGTTGTCGTTTAGAGAATAGGAGAGCAACAGACACCTAAAATATCATAAATGTGCAGTTTTCTCACGGTTGATGGTTCCGACTCCTGGTTTTGACAGTAATAATCAAGTTTTTTTCTGGAAAACAATCAGAGACTGAAATATAAATACAACTTACCAAACTGAAAAATAAGGCTTCAGTATACAGGCAACGAACAAGCTGCTTTGTTTTTCCAGATAACTCTGAATTTATACCTGTTGGATTTACGGGGGTGCATCTGTGGTGGGGGGGGAAATAACCGTGAGCCATTATGTGACTCAGATTCAGCAGCCAAGGACATTCACTGCATATCTTTTATTTACAGTTGACGGTAAAAGAAATAAAAAAAAAATCTAATGGGTCCTTTTTAAACGTAAACTTAAAGACTTTTTATTGAGAGGTCAGACATGTGGACATTAATAATCTAACTGTCCTGATCTTGTATCTGTGATATTTTAGTGTGTTATTTGTTCTGTTGTGTACAGTCACTGTGTTTTGTGTAAAAGCCTGACTGGGGACAGTTATTGAGAATTAGCCTTATAGCTAAAACGTCGTAGTGTGTGACACGTTTCACGAAACATACTTGCCCCTATCGAATAATAAACGAATAAATACAAATAAATCAAATGAATAACAAACCCCAGATTTGACCTATTAACTTGACGACCACCGTCTTGTTTGTACCTGATGTTAAAAGACGTTACAAACTTTTTTTTTTAAAAAGGCAGGGCGAGTCTTTTAACACTTTGAAAAGACGCAAAGAGACAAAAACAGGAGAGAGAGAGAGGCAGAGCGAGAGCTCGGGCTGGGAGCTGGGGATGATTTCTCTGGGGATGAAGGATGCCTGCGTGTGTGTGTGTGTGTGTGTGTGTGTGTGTGTGTGTGGAGGGAGGGGGGAAAGTGAGCGGGGGGGGGGGGGGGGGGGGGGGGTGAGGAGAGGCAGAGCTGATTGAGATTCTGGCCTCCAGAGCTGCTGCTGCTGCTGGGAGCTCACACTGAACACGCTCAGTTATTGGAATTTTTTTTAATGAATTAATTCTTCTCATCCAATTTAGGTGAAGATGAAAAGGGAGCAGGGCTGCAAGCATCAAATTTAGCTTTTTTTGTTGACCAGGCCTGGCCTACTCCGTTCCCATTCTGTACGCTTAATATCTGACACTTGTTATATATTATGTTTTTTCTTTCTTTCTTTCTTTTTTTTTTTTTTTTCGGTCTGCTGCTTTTGAAAAGACGTGTTTACAAAACCAAAATAACATCCACATGAAAAGACATAAAAGACGTTTCCTACAAGTAATATCTGAGACATTTCATGCTCATTTAGTGGCACAATCCCAATAGGAGCCAAAACCTACCCACAACCAGCAACACACTTCCACACGCCCTGCCCCCCACCCAGCCAAAGTCTTTTTACCAATGAATAATGGAGCTGTCTGAGTTTTTAGCGGTGCAAAGAGACTAACATTTTGACACCACTATGTATTCAGCAGAGTCGAGGTGGAAATAAAGCTCGCTCCAACCGTCGGCAAACGACCAAACCCGGTTACAAGTCTGTCAAACAGCAGGTCTGAAACACCTAAAAGAAATAAATACAGAAGCTACAGATTCCAAAGTGAAATGCAGCATTTTTGAATTGTGAGAGATGGTGCCATCGTTTGATGGATGATGATGATGGAGGATCAGCCACATAAACATTTTCCTGAAAGAAAACAGGCGTAAAAATAGAAACACCTGCATGCAAAGCGTTAAGGACAATAAGGCTAATTAGATTTTTCATGAATAACAGAGTACTCTACTGTATTAGAGCTCTCCTTTATTCTTCAGTACATCGTCTTTCAGATGAGAGGGACCTGATTCAGACGCATTTTGCTTTAGGACGCACAGATTCCTGTTGAAAAAAAACATATTTTTCTTCTCACAACCAGCAACACTGGACATTTCCCACCTAGGTTAGACTGATACATGGCAAACATGGCTCACATCCCAAATAACAGAACACTTCTACAAAAGAAAAAGGCTCCGTGCTACAAAAAAATAAAATAAAATAAAATCCAGTTTGCTGCTTGTGGACGCTTCACATGCCAGATGTGAAAAATATGAAAAATATTTACACGTTTTTAGAAATCTGTGCATGAAAGTTGTTCAGTCTCAATCAATGAAGTGATCATACACTGTGCAGGGGTCTGAATATATTTGCAAAGACAGAAAATAAGAAGGAATTAAATATTCTTTGGTTCTAATTGTGGTAATTTTCAGAGATAATTATGGTATCAACATCCTTCTTCCTGCTTGTTCTGTAAAACAACATGATACTTTAATTCAGATGACTCATCTCGGAAAACAAATCTTTATTAAATGGAAAACTGATGAAATAAATACTCCAGTGGGTCCAACACCTGCCGCACTTCCTCAGCTTTTGTTATAAAAATGGTCCATTTGTCTGTTTATAATGGATTATATTGAAAATGTTTCTGTAGGTTCAGTTTTTGTGGGATAGTTGACATAAAGAAAACCAAAAGGGTTTTAATATGCTGAATAATGTTGAATTAACTTATTTCAACAACAAGGCAGCTCATATACTTACATTGGCAAGTTATATACACCATTTCAGGGTAAAATACTCTTTGATAACAAAGCGTTATTAGCCCTGTAATGCCAAATGTATCATATTTGATACATACGGTTTCTGAAATGTTTTGCATAATTTGATGGTAAATGGTAAAATGGTAAAAACTTTGCTCAAAATCCAGTTGTACACAATCAGATATACCTGATAACAGGGGGCAGAAGACTACCGTACACAAAAAATAATCTTGACTTATCGCATAGTAATAAATTAATAATATAGAAAATTTTTGTTTTTTCTTTATACATATTTTGTAAAAATGCCAAATAAAGACAAAAAAACAACAAAAAAAGTAATTTTCTGTTTTGATTTATTCTTGGATCAGGCTTTAAAGGGTTAAAAATACCCAGTATAAGGCCAGTTAGCCATCTAAGAAATGTGCCAAAAGATACATGGAAACTTGCAATTTTCTGTCAAAATGTCATATTTCAACTGTAAAAAATAGTCAAAATGACCTGTTTTTTTCCACTATGATGTTTTTCTAATTACTTTTGGAGCATTAGAGTCTCCGGCTCAGTTTGGGCTCTGCTTGCTACACACACACACTTATCCACACACACACACTTATCCACACATACTGTCAGGTCCTGAAAACAAGGGGGCGTGTAGCTGTTTAATGTCAGAACAATCCGGTCCGGTGCTTCAGCTCAGGGTTCACAGAACAGGGAACGCTGAATCCCTTTAGCCCGGCTGCTCAGCGCTGACAAGGTATCTGGCCTAAGATTCATTTAGACAGTCAGCAGAAGAAGAAACCCTCAGAGTCAGCGAGCCATCTGGATCAGATCGAGCTGAAGCAGATATTCACTCACCGGGGGATTCTCTCCCCAAAGACAAAAGCAGATGAGCTCAGCTTTACTGCTTTCAAAGTACCTTTTTATTTTATCAGGTTTGGATTATTTCACCTGCACGATTTAGGGGTTTCCTCAGCTTTTCTTGCTTCCGAAGTTCTGCTTAAAACATCTTACTTATGTCCCAGTCGTAGTTTCTGCTGTTCAGATTTGTCAGAGGATTTTTGGAGATCCCGAAAAAAGGCCAAGATGCCGATAAAGGAATCCACGAGTACGCGTGACATTTTGAAGACTTAAAAAGCTGTGTCTTTAATCTTCAGTGGCCACGTTTGAAGATGCTTTTGTCTGGTAATAGTCATTAACATATTTAATTTGCCGTAAAGAGCAATTTAACACCCGGTTTTCAATTTCAACAAGAGAGAGGTTAGATTTGAAAACTAGATTTCCTCAAGAAAAATGCACAATTATTACTATAACAATCTATCTTCACCATCAAAAATAGGGGCGAAACAGGAGTAAAATGACATCAATCCAGGATATATCGCGACTTATACTCCCTATGTGTCATATTATATGGCTAATAGCTGCACCTCAGGGGTCCATGTTTGTACTTTTAGACGCCCTGAAATGTCCCGAATAGTAAATGGACAAACTAAAAGGCTACAAGGCTACAAGGTGTTGTCCCCTAATGACGAATCTTGGACCCCTGAAGGTCTAATTAGGTGCATTTTTTCCTGAGAGAGTTCAAAGTAAGAAATAACCATCCTTCCAGTAGGCTTTCGAAGAGAACAATAGGTTACCTACTATGAAACTTCAGAGAAAGGATGGGGAAAGAATCAGAGTGTCAATGGAGATGATGTCTAACCAGGTTAAAGCCATGATCATAAGGAGCTTTTGAATGGATAAAATTATAAATAAAATTGAAATTTGCGGTGGGAAAAGCTGAGGGAAGAGAGCGGTTACCTTTGTAAACATTGGCTTCCCGTGCTGGGTGACCATGGTGCACTGATCGCAGTCCAGCGTGATGCAGGAGTTGTGGAAGGACTCCTTGGAGTGTTTGAGGATGTAGTGGAGCTCGGTGACCCCCCCCTCGAACACGGTGCTGAAATACCGGGGGATCAGCGTCCGGCCGATGGCTGCGGGGGCAAAAAAGAGGAGAAAAGAGCTGCTAAAAACGCTGACGCGGCAGAATAAAAACACAGAAAATTACATCCGGCTGTCAGTTTGTAGCATTTTTGGGCCTTTTTTTGCCTTACAGGAATAATTCGGATCGTTTGTTTTTTCTCGACACGCGTCAGACAAAAAAAAAAAAAAAAACCTGACGCAACATTGGAGATGAGTGTAAGTGGCGAGCTGAAGAGGAGAGAAAATGAGCTTAACTTATCAAACATACTGGGAACAGCAGGGGGGAGCTGGCCTGGCTCTGGGCCAGAACTCCACAAATGAGCCTCCCATGTTAACATCCCAGCTCCGATTGTAAACAAAAGAGATACAAAGCTTTAATTACAGGCCTTCGGAGGGGCTGATAGATTTGATTTTGAACTTTGGACGGACCTGGGCTCTTTTTTTTATGCCTCTTCTAACAAAAATATGGGGGATGTCAAGTCTTCCTCATTCGGTTCTAGTGAATAAAAAACAAAAAACCCTTTCATTAGCATCCTCGTTAGCACGTTAAGGTCAACTACATATTTCATCCAAGCATAACAAACACAAAAAGCCAAAACACTGCAGTAGTTCTTTCTTAATTTAACCAGAAAAACAAAAAAAATCAACCAAAAAATTGTGTTGAATGCGACAAGCTTTCGCAGTTTCGTTCGTAGAAAAATGATCCTTATCCTTGTGATAATTACGTGTCTTTTTCTTTTCTTTTTCTTGGAAACAACAAATTGGATTTTAGTGCTGCAAGACTTGTTCACTGACCAAGCAGACAGCATGATGCTAACAAAACAGACATTTAATATGAAGCTGGATACTCAACAAGAAAACAAATCAACTTAAAAAATAAAAAAAGGGAAATACTGCTAAATATAGAACACATGTATTTATTCATTTCCAGTCTCATTAAAAAGGTTTGTTTAAATAATCTATATTAACTCAGTGTAATGACTCTTAACATAAGAGAATAAACCATTTTTTAAAGACTTGGCCTTGTAGCTGTGGTCATTCTATGAACGAGGAATCTCAAACCAACAGACAAAATCTGGATTTACAGAAACTATGTGTTTTGTATTAAAATGCATGAACACACCGTTTCCTGAACACTGGGCTGGCTTCCGGACAGCTTTTCACTATTCAGATTGAGTCCGATCTCAGCGTCAAATAAATCTTGAGTTCAAATCCTCCAACACATCTTAAGATTAAAGATTTTTTCTTGAAACAACAGACGATATCATAAATTTCGGCGTCTCGGTCCCCCCCCCTTCGACGGGGGATGTGGCAATTTGGCCGATAAGTGTGCCGCGCGGTAATGTGCCTCATACAAATGAGGCTGCAGCAGAATGTGAGGGGAAAAAAAGCTCTTCACACACTTTTCAGAATAATAAGACCGCTTGACAGCAGCACGCGGCATAAAACTGACTTATTGAGACGGACAACTTCTCCGGAGCAAACTTTCCGCAGGAGTCTGGTAGAGAAAATGATGAAAAGTGGAGGAGGAGTCAGGGAGGGAGAGAGTGTGTCTCCTCGGTTTTACAGCCCCGAGGCTTTGTCTGGTTTCCATCTCCTCTGCGTTAGCTGGCTTCAAGGAGAAGTGCGGCTGATACACTGTGTGAGCCTCACACATTATGGATGCACACCAACCAAACTCATTCCAGAATATTTGGCTATTTCTCGATTTTATAGGATGTTTTTCCTTGTCAGTCTTTATTTTCGATAGGGAAAAAATCTCATTTTTGGGATGGGGTTTCAGTTAGAAATGAAAAGTCCACAGGAGTTTTTTCTCAAGAAGGGTATTTAAGCTATATTTGAAATAAAAATGAGTTTAAAAGGTCAGGGGTTGTTTCTGTGTGAGCTTCCCTGGTTCTGAAACACCAGTAAATCCCTCCATACCTCCCCTCCCAGAAGGTAAAATCATGCAACATGTTCTCTTTCCAACTGAACACACATAAAAAGTAACGCTCATACTGATCTTAGTCTTTTCCTACGAGCAAATTTAACTTCCCATGCTTATAAAATATCATGAATATAAAAAAATCCAAATAGAGGATCATCAATCAACAAAACGTAACACTGTATTTTGCATTTTAACTAACTAAAACAAACATTCCTGCTATTCCTGTTGTACATTTAGTTACTTTTTGTCTAAGAAAATGTCAAAACCCAATTAAGATTTAATTGTTTATTTAAGATGGAATTGTTTTTAAGTGTTTATTCAGACACTGACGTGAAAAAAAGTTTGAAAATTTGATATTTTTGCATGTAATTCACTCCAAAACAGACTGTTGCAAAAAGAACTGAACCAACCTCTGTTTTTTTACCTGAAAAAAATAAATTCTGGCTTTCCATTAGAATAGTTTTTCTATTCTTTTTCTATTCTTTTATACTACATGTGGCTTAAGCTATGAGTACATCATCACAACTCTATCTGCATCCCTTTTCTCTACTAAAACTGAATTATGAGCAACACAAACGGCAGAATGGTTTAATAAAACACCTAAAAATAGCCCTGAGGATTTACAGTATAATATACAGGATTTTACAGTCCTGATTAATTATCATGGCGAATGTTTATGCTTTTTTGGGGACGATCCCGAGGTAAACAACAGCCATTCAGCCCTTTTAGGGGGGGACCTGCATTTCAGTCTGACAGAACTTTTTGCATAGTCGGCACATTAATCCTAATATGAGAGTCCTTGTTTACCTCCATGGCTAAATATTCAGGGTCCGGTACTTTGGAGGACGACCACAGGGGTGTGTGAATTATTGAAATGGCCTCATTCAGAGGAATGTTTCGGCTTTTTTTTTCTTACACGGGGATGAACTTTGGTCTGGGTGCTAGCTAAACCAACCTGGGACACGAACGGGAGTGAGAAAATATTTGGGTCTTGTAAAAAAAAAACTATGGTTGTTGAATAATGGCGGCTTTTCGTGGATTTACTGACAAAACACAAGCAGGAAAAGAATTATTTCCCATTAAAAAATGGATCATTAATCATTAAATCATCTATTCTTTGAGAATTCGAGTCCAGGATGAGCATGCTGTTCTTCCCGGACATTTAAGAAAAAAACAAAAAAACCTCTGCAAATCCTGATTTTGGGATTATGAGGGGCAAGTATAGTGGGATTTCCTTCAGCATCTCGTTCTTCGCCCTAGTGGAACAAGACTCTCGGTCGCTCTGCGTTTCCCTACCCGTCAAACCCCCGTCATTAGAACACTGGCGGGGAGGAAAAAGAGAAGAAAAAAAGAAGAAGAAGAAGAAGAAGAAGAAGAAAACGGCAGCCGCATTATCCAGCAGCACATGGCCTCTGATTTCAAGCAGAAATAATCCATCTTAGAGTCAACACTCTGCTGGTTAGAATTATGTTCTTGCTCTCCTTCCCCCGGGG